AAGCAAACAATGCTATTTGTTAAAATAAAAATAATAACAATTCATCTTTTAATTTAAATATTTTATAAATTGTTAAAACATTCTTTTTATGCTTAAATGAAGAAAAAAAAGTTGCTTGTATGAAAAGAAAAAAAGAAATTAATTAATTAATAATTTTTATCAGTAACAAGCTTAAATGAAGAAAAAAAGAAAGAAAAAAGTTGCTTGTTTGATTATGAAAAGAAAAAACGAAATTAATTAATTAATAATTTTTATCAGTAACAACTTAACAACTTAAGCTATTTCATTAAGTTGTTAATTATAATTGTTTTGAGAATGTAAGCCTAAAATGAAGTATATAATTCATTTTAAATTAGCATTAATAACTAACATTGCAATTATTTATAGTTAGAAAATAACTCTTTTAATTATTGCTTATAGTTAGGAAGCAATTCTTTTAATTATTGCTTATAGTTAGAAAATAACTATTTTAATTTGTAAAAAAAAAAAAAAAAAAGTTTGACTACTTTAATTTCAAATTTTTAAACGTCAAAATTAAATGTTTTTAAAAGTGTAAAAAAAAATTTTTTTTCTTATAATTCTATAAAATTTTTTTACAGCAATTATTGGAGCTTTATGCGCAATTAGCAGCAAGTCATAGTAGGCATACAGATTCTGAACAAAGTAGCGATGATGGCGGTAATACTTCTTCATATGTCCTATCACCACCTTCCAGTAATGGTATTGCGGAAAAAATTCATCCTTGTATTGCTGAACGATGTTCACAGGTTAGTGTTATTATTATCATTTAAGCTATCTTCTCTTTGCTAGTTATCATTAATTTTTATTTCAACTTAATCAGTTCATATCTTCTAAAGATAAGTTTTTCTTTTTTTTTTCTTTTTTTGGTAATGTTAAGTTTGAATTAATATATGTGAAATTTGAATTGGATTTGTATATATATATTTTTTTTTGAACTTTTGAAATAATATTTTTATTATTTCAAAAACTAATATTTTAAAAGTGAATTAATTTGAAATTAATAATATAGTTTTGATATTAATTTGAAATTCTGAACTAATATTTCGAATTAATACTTTGAATTCTTATTAATTTTGAATTAATAGTTTGAATTAATGTAGTTTGAGTTTTTTTCTTTTTTTTATTGAAAATTTAATCGGTTTATTTATCAATTCTTCTTTTCTTAATGATATGTTTCTATATTATATTGAAATTTTTGTCCAAAAAGATAAATGGAAATTGTAAGTTAGAAATTTTCTTTAGAAAATATGAACTGATGACCCTCGTTTGAATTGATGGCCCCTTGGTGACCTTCTGAACTGATGACTTTTGTTGGACTGATGACCCCCTGGTGACCTTTGCTTTCAATATCTATTAAAAGCTATTAATATATGCTGCACTAATTCTTTTTTCTTTAGAAAATTGTTAGTAAAAAAAAATAGAATTTGATGATTTGAAAAAAAAAGAATTTTAGTGCAGGTAATTTTAGAATAGACACGTAGTAGACGGGAATAAAATTGATAATTTCATACTTAGATCAGATGATCATGTTCTCAGTACTGATAATCGATTAGGAATGAAAAAAAAAAACTTCAAATCAAATGATATCCACATTTGATAGCTTCATTATTCTAATTAAAACCAGTAATTAACGATCATAATATTCAAATTAATTAATATAAATTTTTTTGTTTATACGAATCGAATTATGATAATATTGCTATTGTTGTTGTCAAAATTAAAATATTTTTCATATTTCAATGACAGAATTATTGGGGAAAATTTAAGTTTCCATTGGAAAAATGGCGACATTTGAAGGCGAAAACTTCACTGAAATTTAATTGAATACATTTTATATTTTAATATTGCTATTTAATATTTGAAATTCTATATTTGAATATCAGATTATAAAATTATAACATTTTCCAGCTAAATAATAATTCTCATTTGGCAAATTTTTTATTCTTACAATAAGACGTTTGCATTATTTTGCATAATTTTTAAAAATATAATTCAATTATTTATTTTGATAACTTGTGGTAAATTTTCAAATTCATGCATCACTAATAAATGATTATATTTGAACATTTTTGACATTTTTTCTCTTACTGTAATATATTACTGTGAAATGCATTACTTTCTCTTTGATATATTACTGTAAAACTCTTTGATGTTTTTAAAAAGTTATTGTGGTAACAAAAAAAAAATGAATGTAAGAGATGAAAATCGTTTTATTTTATTTCCTATGGTAATTATTCTAAAATTTTTGTCATACAAATTGTTAGCTAATTTAGCTGACAAATTGTATTTCGAATTTATAGCATTAACAATTAGATGTGAACAAAGAATAAAGAGAGGATGAAATTTAATCGTTAATTAAATCAAATAAATTTCCAACAAATGAAAAACAAATAAATTCCACCTTGTAAAATAGGCGATTTTTCTTTGTTAATGACATTAATAAGTTGGCTAATTAGCACTTAATAATATTTGCCTCATTTAGTCAAGTAATATTGGCTTCAAATCTTTTCATCATATGTTTGTGTCTTTCTGCTTTCCTTTTCTTTTCTTTCATTCTTTTTTCTTTTTTTTTTTTAAATTAATTACAGTTACATTTTTAATCTTTTATTTTAATTTTGAAATTTCTTCTCGAAATGTATCATTTTATTTCTAAAATTTTTTTTTTTTTTGACTAAATTTATATGAAAGAAATATATTTTTTAAAAGTGTAGTAAGAAACGAAAAAAAAATTATTTAAAGAGGAAAACGAATGAAAAAATGCAAAACAAATTTATACATAATTAAAAATAAAAAAAAGAAAAAGAAATGAATGAACAAATATTCATACATATAATAAATTTTTTAAAATGATATTTTAAAAGATTAAAAGTAAATTTTTTAAAGAAACAAAAAAAAAAGTACGAAATTTTATTTGCTAAATTTTTGTTTTCTTAAATTATTTTCGAAAATGTTAATACGTAATAGATGATAATATAGTTATAAGAATATGAGAGGTAGTAAATATATATATATATATGTCCATTTAATGATATGTTTATTAGATAACTTCGAGTAAGAGTGCTAATTTCAATAATTATGACGATTTATGATGCCGATAATTATCAACATCGAAAACATTGTTTCATTACTATGTATCGAATAGAGGAGACTAATAATTTCTTAGTTACCGAATGAATGGATTGATTGATTATGATAATATATTTATTAGTAGTTCAGTATAACTTTCAATATAATAAAGTTTTAAAATTAATTTAAATTTAAACTTTTTCTTTTAATACAAAAAATTTTTTTTTTTTTTTTGGATAAAATTCTTTGGATTTATTCAAATAATGAGAAAATTTAGATAAAATATTGTAAAATTTTACAGACTTTATTTTGAAATCTTCGAATTATTTCATTTTATAATGAAAAATTCATTGTATGTTTTTTTTTATGATTTCAATTATTATCATTATTTTCTATTAGTTGTAATATTATCTTTAATCAGAACTATAAATGTATAATGTATTTATAGCATTTCTCATCTCGTGGCGCTTTATTGTGGCATATTTTACGACGACATCCCGGTGAAAAGCTTTTACAATGCAAACAATGCGAGGAGCGTTTTGCTGATCCTGAACAGGTAAATATTATTAGATTGATTACCTAATATTACTATCATTATCATTTGTTATTAATTATCATTTGAAATATTAAAATATTTCCCACATTGAAATTTGAATAATTGTTTGCATATGTAAATGTGGTGTGTGTGTGTGTGTGTGTGTGTGTGTGTGTGTGTATGTATGTATGTATGTGTCGTTTATATGGCGCAAAAGGTCGTTGCTACAATCTTATTCATTGTTATTACGTTTATAATTATAGCCATTGCTCTTATCATTACTACTGCTATTATTGTTAATATTATTGCTGTTGTTATTATTATTATTATTACTATTATTATTGTCGTTATTATTACTATTATTATTATTATTTTTATTATTATTGTTATTATTATTATTTATTATTATTATTATTTATTATTATTATTATTTATTATTATTATTATTATTATTATTTATTATTACTATTATAATAATAACATTATTATTAATTGTTATTATTAATTATTATTATTATTATTGTATTATTATTATTAATTATTAATAATAACAATAGTAGTTATTATTATTATTGTTATTATTAATTGCTATTATTATTATTATTTATTATTATTATTATTATTATTATTATTAATTATTATTATTAATTATTATTATTATTGCTGTTGTTGTTGTCAATATGTCGTTGTCATTATTATGTTTTGTTGTTGCCATTATTATAATATTATTATTGCCATCATGATTATTACTATATTTGCACATAAATTAATGTGATTTAATATATATGTATACGTATATAAATATATATGTGTGTGTTTATATATACATATGTGCGTGTGTGTGTGTGTGTGTGTGTGTGTGTGTGTGTATTTTGTGTGTGTATGCACACATCTATTAGAAAATCTAATATCATATTTTATCAATTCTTGCTGATATTTCTTTCATTCTAATCGATACAAATAAAAGTTAAAATACTACGAGTAAGATGATTAGAATTTTCTGTAATTATAGATCAAAACTTAGCAATCATTTCTACATTTAATATCTTTAAATTTTTAGGTCGTATTTTTGATTAACATATATCTACATTATTCTTTATTAAATTCTTTTATCTTAGGCCAAATTTACTTTTCTTTAATTTCGATTTGTCAACTTTAAGTTACATTTGCATGTGATGAAAAAAGATTAGTTAAAATAGTCACAGGTGCTACATATTGTTGTCATTTGCTTTTAACAAGACAATATTTACTCCTTCATTATATTATGAACATAATCAATCCTCTTACAATTATTTATAATATTAATTGAAATAAGAAAATTCTATTTTTGTTTTAGCTACTTAAAACATTACTATATAATTTTTTAGTATCCATTTTTTACAATTTTCCAGTTCTTCAATTCCGAATTAAATTACTGCTACATTCATTCATTCATTTACTCATCGTCTATTTAATTTAAATATAGGACTTCTATGCTTCCAAAAAATTACTATACTTTTTGTAGATTTTAAATTTTTGAAATTTTTAATGAAAACTTATGCATGTTTATTTCACTTTCTTTTTTTTTTTTTGCTTAAAATTATTGTTAGAAGGAAAAATATATAAATTTCTTTTTTTCGTTTGAAATTTAAAAATGAATTCGAAATTCTTTTTTTTTTTCTTTTATTAGAGAAACTATTCATTATCTTCTTATAAGGACATTGGATGCATTATTGTTTTCCTTTATTGACCTATTTTAAGCCATAATGAAATGTTTTGTCCTTTTTTTTTTATCCATTTCAAACCTCATTTTCACCTTTTTCTTCTTTACCACCATATATCTATCCATTCTTTGACCTCATTATTTGACCCTCTATAAAGGATGACATTTTATATTACCTAAATGGACAATAAAAGTAAATTAATATTATGCAAATTTTGTGAAAGTTAAAATGAATTTCAAACAATGATTGTATTCAAATATGTATAATTGTCGTATTGTTAAAATGCTAAAATTGATATGTAATAATTTAAATGGAACATTTTTACGAGAAATTTATTTGAAACAAACATAACTGGAATTGATTCAGATTGTTAGCAATGAAATTAAATATCGAATTAAGCTTACGAATGATCTACGATGAACTTTCCTAGACTATTTCCCCGTTTATTTTCAACATATTTCCTTATCCATTTGCGTTTGTTATCAGAAAAGGGCTTTAAAAGTACTGAAAAATATTTTGCAGGTACACGAGCATCGTTGTGATTTATTTCAACGTAGTGCTTCCACTGGTGCCTTGGAACATAGCACGTCACCAGATGCAGATCGTGGTTCGGTACCAGCTCGTGTGCAAACTTCCTATACGTTGGTAGCAAAAAGTCCGGATGCTATAGCAGGAGGTCTTAACTATGGTAGCACTGTACCTGTAAGTACTTTACCATCAATTCCACCACCTCCAGCTCCGCACCTCTTTCACGAATGTTGTTTTCGCAATTTTTTGGAACACCAACTGCAACTGCAACGGTTGCTGCAACAGCTGCTGCTACTGTCCCATCAACATCCGCTGCAGCGAAAGATACCGTACTGGATCTATCCAATCCAGTAGCAAACAAGCAACAACAGCAATTCCTACCAATGCCTGCTATTTCACAGCAATGTAAGTTTGTAGTAACAAATTTGAACTTTTATTTAAATTGTTCCAATAGAATTGGTCACCTTTTTTTTTCTTGTTCATCTTAATGTTATTATTAGAATATGATAGATGACTCCTCTAATAGATCGACCGTATGCTTTTTTAATACCGATTTTCAATTTGCAGTTATCAGGCCACCGTTCAGTTTTGGTCAATTTGCGGCAGCCGCAGCAGCGACATTGCGTCCTGCTCCGCATCCGGATTTATTTCTAAATGGTCCATCATCAGCACCACTACTAAACAATGACGATGATTGGGAAGCATTGATGGAAGTGAGCACAACGGATGAATCCGAAAAAATACGGGCATTAGTTGGTGATAAAGCCTTACCAACGACAGATCCCAATCAGTGCTTGTTATGTAGACGGGTACTTTCATGCAAAAGTGCCCTACAAATGCATTACAGGACACATACTGGTTTGTTGAATATTTTTTCAACTGACAATTTAAAGATTTCAAATAATTTTAATTATTCATTTGATTGAATTATTAATTAAAACATCAAAAATTTTAGTTGATCGATATAAACTAAACATTACAATTGCATAATTTGACCATTAATTAGCTCTATCATTTGTTAGATGAATATTTATTCAACCTTATACTATTATTTATTTAATTTCATACTGAAATACATTTTAATTTTATTTAATATTTAACTTTTTTTAAATATTTTTTTCAGGTGAACGACCTTTTAAATGTAAAATATGCCAACGAGCATTTACAACAAAAGGTAACCTTAAAACTCATATGGGTGTCCATCGAGCCAAGCATTCCTTTCGTGGACTAGCTGCAGCCACAACAAATATCCACCATCAGTGTCCCATTTGTCAGAAACGATTTTTCACTGCTCATTTGCTTCAGCAACATGTCGCACAACATACGACTCAGCCAAGCAGGTCATTTATTACAGTCATATTAAAAAAAAAAAAGGAAGAAAAAATGAATACATTTCAGGAAAATTATTAATTTCAAGTTTCAATTCTTGATTCCTTAGAATATATTCGGTTTTTTTTTTTCTTCCAAAATTCGTTAAGGTACGGTAAAATATTATAATTTTAAAAGGGTCACACATATGTTATCTTATCTTCTGATTGGAAATTCTTTTTGTATAATTTAGCAGATGTTTGGAGTTAAAAAATTTTCACTTTCAGCTAAATATTAATGAAGTGATATTGTAGAAAATTAAATAAAGTATGGGAAAGAAGAGATTAAAAGAGGATGAAAACAAAAGTGATAAATATAAAAGTCAAATGATCATCTTTATATGTTGTTTCGTTTTTCTTTTATTCCAAAAGATTTAACAATTTACGATTAATTAACTAAATGAATTTCAAATAATAAAAACTTTTTTTTTAAATGAAATAATTTCATAAAATAAATAGTAATTTAAATAATAAATAATAATTTCAAATAATAAATAAATAAATTTCTTCATTTACAATAGTAAACATTAAGGGAATGATGCGATATTTGAATGATTTTTAATAAATTATAGGAATGGTATTTTATCATCATTCGAAGTACCAGTAGGTTCACCGCAGGGATTTGATCGACGTACCGAACAACAACATCATCCACCTTCATCATTATCCACATCAAATGGGTAATTTCAAATTATTTCGTTCAATTATTCAGTAATTTACTTTAAAATTAAGATTTTGTTTTATTCCAAAAATATTTTCAAATCAAACCAATCTTGAAAGGCTAAAAATGTCTTTTTCTAAGATTACATTCAGTTTATAAATGATAAATGATAATATCTATGATATAATGGTACCATAGATTGCTTCTTTTTTTTTCCTTTTCAGTCCATCTTCGATGCTTCAAGTAAATGCTACAAATTTGATGTTACCTATAAAGAATGACCTTGTGTCAACACCATTCATGCCACCATTTCCGTTCTTTCCGCTTGGTTTACCGCGTGGTCTTTCAAGTCCGATCGCTGCTTCCAATGCACCTCAAACATCACTTGGATCAATTCCATTCATAGTTAATCATCAAATTAATTCAAAACAAAATGGTAACAGTCTTTTTTTCTTTAATATATATAGAAAATTCAACTAAATTTTAAAATTAAATATATTTAACGATTTTAAAATTTGAAACTTCAAAATTAAGCAACTTTGAAAAGCTACTGGAAATATTTTTATTTCAGAACATCATTATCAACAACAATTACAACATTCAATAAAATCAGAATTACTACAACCACCACCACCAGTAACAACACGTCCAGAATCATTACCGACTGCTCCGTTACGTCTAGAAACTTCACCAACTATATTTAGTCAATCCGGACGATCAATCAATGCTATAAAAGATGATGATGAAGTGGCTTCAACAAGTAGTTCACATAATGGCTTATCATTACCGTTAGTATCAACAGCATTATCAGCAAATACAAATGATCTGATAGCAAATTGTACCTCTTGCTATCAATTCTTTCCGAATCAAATTGCATTAGAACTACATATGAGGTAAGTTTAAAAAGATTCTTTTTTACAAAAAAAAAAAATTATTGGAAAATTTATAATAATTTAATAGTTTTCGTTATTATTCATTGATAAGCTTTCTGTATGAACGATAAATTAATTGTTTGCATATGTTTTAAAGGTGTAAAACGAAAATTTGAAATTAATTCCTAACGAAACACATTCTTTTGCCTTATTATTAATGTTTTTTTTTTTTTTCTATCTTAATTTTGATGATTTTCTCAGGTGAAGCAAAAATTTGATGGAAAGATGATAGAAATTGAAATTGTTACAAGAAAAATTTTGATTTATATAATAAAGCATTTATTTGGATGGGAATGATTATTGAAATAAATATAAAATGAACTGCTAAATGATGGAGAAATGAAAAGTAATCATAATTTTAGAAATCATCGTGATGGTACTCCATTGAAGTGCTTCATTTGTGGTACCACATATACAACAAAAGGCAACCTGAAACGGCATATGTCATCAAAGCATCAAATTCATTATCCTTGTTCACCGGATGGTATTTCTAATGATAGTGGTGATGATGATAATGATGATGATGATAATGATAATGATGATGATGATGATGATGATGAGGAAGAGGAGGAAGAGGATCATGTTTTATTCACTCACGCTGAAAATGAACAGTAAATCTTATCTAAATTATAAATAAACAGAATTTCAGTGACATCGTTATGATCTTAATTAAGAAAAATTTCAAATTTTTCAATTTAACTTCGAAGAAGTAAAGGGAATTGAATTTTCTCTCGTTTTTTAATCGATTTCTTGGGTGAGTGTTGGAATTGCTTCAGAATGGATACATGTGAAAGTCAACATGGTATATCAGAATCTACCGATGAAGGCAATTCGCCAGAACAGCAACAACATCAACAGCAGCAGCAAGAACAACAACAACAACAACAGCAACAAGAGGAAGACGAACAACAACAAAATGCTGAAACTTCAGATGAGAAGTCATCTCCAACATCATCCATATCTGTTGCAATTCATCCACCTCTCACTAGCACACCAAATCCCTTAGATGCGATGCAAAAAATGTGGGCGGAAACCGAGCCACCACCTCCGCGGCAAGCGCCTATATTATCGAAACATCAATGTGGCGTATGTTTCAAGCATTTCAGCAGCAGTTCCGCATTGCAGATTCATATGCGGACTCATACCGGTGGGTTATTCAATTTGAAAATATAATTTTTTTCTTTTCTGATTTCTATTATCTAATCTTTCATTTTTTTATTTAAATCATTTAGTAACATATTATCAGATAATAGGTTATTTTCATCAAAATTTAATTTCAGGTGATAAACCTTTCAAATGTGAAGTGTGTAATAGGGCATTCACAACACGTGGTAATTTGAAGGTACATATGGGTACCCATATGTGGCAACAGAGTCCATCCAGGCGAGGTCGCCGAATTTTTGAATTTGGTGCTGATAGTATCTTGCGATCGGAGTTATTACCAGCATTCGGTTTAGGTGCCGAAGGAGCACTTCATGTGGGATCCTTTGATCCAAAAATTAATCCATTGCGTCCCAGTAGATTTGGATTAGATTCACCATCATCACAGACTACTACTGCACCTCCTGCACCACCACCACCACCATCACCATTTTCAGTCCTACCCTTTCCATTACCGTTACTACCACAAGTAAGCAATTCTGGTGGTTGTACTCCAAATCAAATGGATACTGTAATGTGGATGTGGAAAACGGTTTGCTCAGTATGCCAAAAAATTTGTGCTTCTCCTCAAGAACTTGAAAAGCATCTGAAGCAACATTTAAATGGTACTGTACGTAGTGATAACACGGCAAAAATTACTCCATTGTTACAGAAAACCGAGTGATAATAATTGTGATTAATATGATTATGCAGGTTTTTCTTTTCTTTTCTTTTTTTTTTGTTTGAAATTTTGTGCAAAAATTAATTGACAAACTTATATTGCAAATGTTTTCGTTTAAAAAAAACTATCAAATTTTGAAATTAAATTTTTTTAAAAATTTTCTACGATTTAAATACATTTGTTTTGCTCTTTTCTTTTTTTTTCGCACTGATTACTTCGTTTTATAAATGGCAAGAAATAAATTGTATTTAAAATTAAAATCTAATTAGGATGAAAGTTATTTAGCTATTTGATCTGTTTTGTTTTATTTTCTTTTTTTTTTTTTTTTTGTTTTATTCATCATAGTGAAAAACACCTAATCTATTCTTGCCGATTGATATGAGAATATAAATTGATTCATTTACATATCAAATATCGAATAACTCAATTAACAAACAGTAAATATCCTATAATTAATGTAAATTACGGAGTACGCATTGTGCACAAATTATGGATATGATAAAATTTAACCTTATCATAATAATGATAACAAAAATGATGATAACAAAAAAAAAAAGTTTCGGATTAGCAGGAAAAAAATTATCACTCTTTTTTTCTTTCTTTTTTTTTTTCTGCAATATTTCTCAGCCCAATGCTATCGATATCCGATATTTTCCAAAGTTTCATTTATTATTCAATTATAATTAATTATATTTGATCAAATCTATTAATAATGACGATGTATTTCATGTTAGAATTATTGATTCTTTTTTAAAAAGTATTGATTGTAATTTTATAAATTTGTAAAATGGCGATCTTCTTCAACACAAATGGTGACAGTCACATGTATCTTTGAATCCCTGATCTTTAACCCTTATTACCGGGTATAGTGTAAAGAATTTATATTCACTTTGCTAATGAAAATTAGTTTAATCTATATTCTGTTAATTACAAGTGAACGACATATCTTTTGGTCCTTCTGCGCATATACCCATTTGCTTTGAGAAGATTTTGAAAGCTTTAAATTAGTTGCCATTGATAAACAATGATTTGTTGATAAATTCATCCATTTACAAAACTAATCAATAATTGTCAATCATTTTTTATAATTAAAATTGGAAGGAATGATAATTTAATTAAGACAAAATGATACAATCAAATATATAAGCAGAAGAAATTCCGGTTCATAAAAATAAGCATTGTAAATTAATGCTATTTAAATTTTCATTTCGTGATATTTATCCTTTGTCACTTTATCCAGAAAGCTGTTGTTGTCAACCTTTGGCATTATCACTCTATTATTGCTTTGGTTTTTGTGCTATTCTGTTATGTTTGCCATTGAAATGTTTTGCTTTTAGATGCTTATTTGTGTAATTTGAATTTCTTTTTCTTTTCTTTTTGAATGCTCTTCCGGAATGATCAGGAAAAATTTTTGTAAAAAAAAAAAATAGAAAGAGAAGAATGAGATAAGGAATATTATTGATGGAATCTTTTGATAACAAAAAAAAGGAAAAAGATGTTATGGAAGTGTATATCTCTGAAAGAATTCTACCGTATCAACAAAACATTGGAATTATTTATTCAATTTAAAATAATTACTGCAAACAACTTGTTATTATTTAAAAGTTAAACTCATCGAATTTTGGGAAATCTTTAATTTTGTATTTCAATCATTTTCAGAATAGGAAGATTTTGCAGAAAAAAAAAAAAAATCTGAAATTTCATTCTTTCATTCTTCTTCAAGTAAATTATGAAATTTTGTGACCAACTAAAATTTTTCGTTAATTTAAAAAGTCTTTTAGACAAATAAAAGTAAACCACAATGATTTTCCTCCAAGTATTGCAGGTATTTTATTACCTTTGTATTAAGTAATTTATTACCTTGTATTAAATATATGATTGCATAATTGTCATGCTATTGCCAAATCAATTAATTACTGAATTTGAAATTTGAGCTTTCTTTTTTGCTTTTTTTTTTTTTTTAAAACCTTATACATTTTTGAGAAATGAAATATTTTGTGGTTTCATTTTCTTTCTTTCTTTTTTTTTTTTTTTTTAATTCCCATACCGTATTCATCATTCTTATTATTGAATTCATGAGTCATAGCGGTGAATAATTGATACGGTCATCGACATATATTATTGTCTTTTCTTTCGCACAATTTAAATTTACTAATTAAAAATTATTTAAATATTAGTAAAGCAATGCATATGTCTATTCTATATATGTATGTATGTGTGT